TTCCATGGCCAGTAGAATATTTGACATGCATAACATGATTATTCTGCTGCATTACACTGATTTTGGAACTTATACTGTTTTACTGTTTTTAGAACTTATATTGCACATGTAAGTGAGCTTGGGGTGGAGAGATCCTTGAGGACCCTTTGCCTTACTGAGATTTCTGTTTAGAGATTTCACCCCACGTTTGGGGCATATTTTCAGGTTCAGGTAACTCGGAGGTTGAGACCTCGAGCGGCAGGAGGCCGGAGCTGAGTTGAGATATATGTTGTTATGATATGATATGTCTGGATGATGATATTATTTACCTTCAGTATATTTGTATTTGATTTGAGACTATGTTGGGCCTTGTTGCCTTATTTGGTGAGCATGGGGGTTGTTCATGCCACATTGATTTGACTTTGTTGATTTAGATTCGAGTTGTATAATGTATCAGAATTATGGTCCGGACTACGTGTTGGAGTTCCGTGACTTAGATACTCACTTATTTATATATTGAGGTTATTCAGTATAGATAGTTGTCTATTTGCAATTTACATACAGGCAAGGTTTTTGAAAAAGAATTAAGTAATCATATTAATGACGTCATAATTGAAAGGAAAAAGTTAATTCCGTATTTTAATTAAGCGCAGCTAAATACGATGACATGATAACAAACCGGGTATACACGGGGTGTTACATAGATGTTGAGGAAGATTCCCCAGAACTAGAACAATATTTAAAACTTGGGAAGGGCAGACCCCAAATCCAATAGCCCGTACACGTCCAGGGTGCTCTTTCCTAAACACCTGAACAAAAGCATCTTCTTCGGATAAAGTCCCGTCATGTTGTGCAGCTAATAACAATTCCAACAAAATTTGATCCAACAACCAATTTAAAAAAAGTAACATTGTCATATAGGAATACAAGTAAACAACTATGTTCCACTTATATTTTTTCGCCTAGCCTCTTCATTCACAAATGTACCATCTTTTTTCTTATGCGTATGGGTATACATTTCCTTTCTACTAAGAGGCTTACCTTTTTCAATTTCCTAAAACAATAAAATAACCAACAAGAATTACATAGATTGACACTTTATTTGCATGTTTTTATCAAAAAAATTGATTTACAATAAAAGATAACAAATGTCTTATTTGGCAAAGTATTTTTTGGAGAATTGTAATTTGTAATATTTCGATCTTGTGTAACCTTGAAGCATGATGTATGATGAAAGGGCAATAGGTCTATTTTAAGTTATGATTATATCCATGTTTAAAGAATGCATGCAAATGGAAACAAGTGATGGAAATGGTTTAAGCTTTGAAAATGTAAGTAATGAGAGGTAAATTGAGTAAATTGATATAAATTGTTGAGGGTTGTAAGAGCACCAAGGAATTGCTGGTCCTTGAGTGCCACCCATATATCTTAGGTACCATTTGAGGATAATAACACACTTTTGATAAAGTGGGATAGGTTGAATAAACAAAGGAGTTGCCGTCGAATTTTCTATAAAATGGCATATTTTGGGTGAACTTTGGGAGAGCATATCTTCTACAACAGAATTCCAATAGGGACGTTCCATACACAATTTTCAATCTTGAGATGACATCTATGTTGTGTCAAAATTTGGTAGCCATTAGAGTTTTACGCAGACCTGTAGAGGCATTTTAATAAGAACTGTCCAGAATGGCTGCACTTGGGGCTGTCGGGTTACTGAATTGAGAAATTTATTTCTCCATAAATTCTTGGTCAAATTTTTCCCATATTATGTGAAATTGAAGCTTGACGTGTCTAGTTTACTGTATAAAAGTTTTAAAGCAATTGCTATAGTGGTTTGGCCAGAATTGCTGAAAGCGTAAAGGCTGTTTGGTGTCCTGTTTGAGGTTGGCTGGCAGCTTTGCTTGTCCAACTTCAAATGGTGATAACCGGAGCAAAAGAATACTTTATGGAACATGTGATAGCTTGTTGGAAAGATAATTAAGTCTAGAATAACATACTAAAAGATGGGAGGTTTTGTAGCATGCAGATCTTTCGCAATATCCAGATTACTGAACTATGTTCAGTTATGTAAAAACTGTAAAAGTGAGATTTATGCTAAATGGGTTTATGGGAACCCCTTAGTGACTTGATAGAAGTATTATATGATAGTTAGGCAATTTATTTAATTATTCCACTTTTAGTTTTCAGTTATGAACACAGCTTTTACTCATTACATTTTATTACTATTTTAAATGCTCGCGTAATGAAAAGGAAAAAGTTTACTCGCATTTTTATAAATGAACTGCTGTGATTGTAACCTCAGAAGCACAGACACGGGTTTTTAAAAAAATTTGCGTGTCGGACACGTGTCCGACACGGACACACTCCGACATGCGTCCGATATGCGGTCAACATTTTGGGACACGCGGTCAACTCTCTGACACGTTCTAACACTTTTTTCCGACACGCAGTCAACTTTTTTCGACACGTGGTCAACATTCCGACATGTTTTTTTTTTTTAGTCTTAATTTTATTTTATTAACTAAATATAAAAAAAATTATAATTTAATTTTTTTCTGTTATGAAATTTGACATGAAAAATTAACAAAGTACGAATTTTTTTTTTTATGTTATGAAATATAAATATTTGATTGGTTATATGACTTATTATGGACTATTATATGTATTAAATATAAATTATATTATATATATTAAAAAATTTATTTAATATCAAAACGTGTCCCAACGTGTCGAAATATGACATTTTTTAGAATTAACGTGTCGGCGTGTCGTGTCCCTTGTTGGTGTCGGTGCATCATAGATTGTAACTGCGCATAATATCATAGTTACTGTTTACAATACCGGTACATAACATGCTGTTACAATTCCGCCCAATGGCTCACTCAGATGCAAATCAATAATGTACCATAACAACCAAAACGAGATAAAGCAAGAGATTTAGTGAAGTAGGGATGCATAGGGAGTAAAAATATGATGAAGCTGGAATGCTCGAAGCCAAAACCACGCAACATCTGACCCATTGGCCTCGGCATATATCCTACGAGTTCTCATCCAAGGAAGTGTTCCCAGAACATCAACCAAGGCACCCACCACCAATACACCCGAGACATTCCTAGAGTGCTCCTCAATGGATAACAACTTCATGACCCCAGGTCAACTGGAACTCCCTCACGGAGACCTATACAGTGGAAGTTTGTAACGCTCGAAGGCAACTATCTACTAGTCAGAGATACGGTACATCCTATGTACCCAATATACATACATATATGCATGAGCATGTTATAACTACATCATTAACATACACCTCCAACCACTACCCCCAAGGGGCATGGTGGAGCACAAATGGGGATTACCAAAGGATTACCTTGTTGAAGCTCCTTCTCTAGGCAACTCCAATGCAAGGTGCAACTGAGCTTGGTCCAACCAGAAATGCCTACACACAGGTCATTCCCATATCAATTAGAACCACATAACCACATATACTTTGTTATTCAAGAATTCATGCAATTTCCATAAGCACTTACCACAATCCTTTTGGTCAAGGACTAAAGGCAATCCACCAAGCTCACCGTTCAAAGTTCACGTCCGTGGGAGGCAACCTACAATGACCACACAAGGATCATCATTATCATGGTGCAACCAAGCCAAAATACAACGCATCACACTCTCCCACACACACACACACATAGGTTCGGCCTTTTGGCCTAAAATACCTAGCCATGTTCTTAATTTTATTTCAAGGTTCCAATAGATTCCTAAGCCTACTACAACACCAAACCAACTCCTTAATTTCATTCCATTACCATTCAACCTCATTTTTCCCAATTATCCTCCTTTAGGCCAATATCAACACTTAGACATATTCAATGGCTCCACTTCCAATCTACACGCATCAAATCAACGTACAACCCACTTAAAGATAGTTCACAACCACACAACACTAGTTACATGATTTTTACATCATCCATCCTTATTTCTCCTCTCTTAGCCGAAAATTACATGCATTTATACCAAGGGATTTTTGATTCATTTTAACATTTCACACATCATACAATTCTATAATTAACTCATACAATTACTCAACAACTCAATTACACAATCCTACAACCATTACATTTCACAAAGTCTTGAATTTCCATCATAAATTTTGCCTAGTTACCAAAATTTTCACCAATAATTTTTATGAGCTCAATCATCATCAAACATCATTCCAAGACACTTTTATCTAATACACATTTTCGATTTGAGGTCTTCAACCACATCAATTCACATACACATAGCTTAGGGTTCATAAATTAAATCTACCAATTTATCTAATGAAAAGTGTTGAAACTTACCAAGGATTAAGGCCTAACACTACACCAAAAACGTGATTTAGCGGCGGTTTATTTTCGATTTAGCGGCGGTTCAAACCGCCACTAAAAAATTCAGTGGCCAATTGAAAATCGCCTTAGGAACTGGCGACGTTAAAACTTTTAGGGTCGGTTTATAGGAACCGTCGGAATAACCGACGCTAAAAACCAAACCGACGCAAAGTATATACAAACCGACGTAGATTATTGGATAAAAATTAATAATTTTTACTTATAGCGGCGGTTTTGAACCGCCGCTAAATCATGTAATTAAAAAAAATTTAATTTTTGTGGTGGTTTCAATGATATAATTTTTTTTATAAAAAAATATTATTGGAGATTAAAAAGTTGAAGAAAGCTTTAAATTGCAAGAAAATTTCAAAACATACGGTCTATGATAAAAGTAACATAACATATGAGCAGTGAATATCCACACAATCATAATTCGTCTCTTCTGCATAAACAGAAGAACCATTAAAAACATTTTGAGTAATACAATTCAATTAGATGAAATAGAAATAATGAGATATTATACTCAAGTTACTTTGCTACCTTGCTCTGAACCATAAAAATTAACAACATTGAGTAGACCAAATAGACAAAAGAAGAAAAAGAAAAGGAACGCACTACAAAAAAAAATGTAAATTTATAAGAGTACGTGTGCTTCAATTCATATAAAACTTCAAACGGGCAAGTAAAATCATCATTAAAATATTACATGTGAAACAGTCTAAATGTGAAATAACCATAAAACTAGACCTCGTAGAACAGATGCTCTTCCAAATAAATTCTTTTCGAGCTTCCTGCAGCTCATCATTACTCTTACGCTCTTTAATGACAAGTGTTTGGTTCAATGCATCTAAGTCTTGAAGTGACTGTTCCTTTTCTCTTAAACCCTTATTTCTGCATCTTCACCATCTTTTATGTGTTTCAACACATTTAATGATCCTTTTAGTTGCTGAATCTCCAATTCCAGCTTTTGTTTCATATCCAGTTGTTTTTCAAGCTGAATGATTTTAGCATGGAGTTGTTCTTTTTGCTTCTGTACAAATAGATACAAATAGTATTAATACGATGCTATTTTGATGCTGATAAGGATCCTTTTGGTCAATAACAAAAATTAAAGACGGTAACACAAACCTTTTGATCTCCAGCCAGTTTCAAAACATTTTCATCAGCTTTCTGTTGCTCTATAGCAGCCATCTGAAGAGAGCTGTTTTTCATTGCATTCTGCAAAGACAATGAATGCAAGCAGTGTTGAACAAAGCCTTATACAAGATTCTAGAGAACATTATTAGTTTAAATGATTTCAAAGACACAGGAAGAACAGATTATGTCAAAATTTTGGTTTTTTTTATAGTCCTTTGGCAAGATCCTTAATGGGAGTATAAAGAGTAAAGGAAAATTTCATCTTATCAAGTGTATGGCATATGACAACTCAATGGAGTTCATAATTTTAATTATTACTCAACAGTTATTGCAAAATATTGGTGCCATTGTTAAAAAGCCTGTCCTGTGACACGCCAAAGGGACATGATATTGTCACACTAGATAATTAACAATTTAAGTTTGTCAAGGCATACCAGTGGCATATAAAGGAGTTTTAGTGTCTTTAAATCCTCGAAAGACTCCCTGCTTTGCTAATGAGAGAAGAACTACAGGAGCACCAAGGGACCTTAATGTCAGGTACCGCTGTGCATGAGATTCAAGATGGCATTCAAGGAAAATGACACTATCTATTAACCCACGGTTATTATTTAGGTGTAATTTCTTTACCAAAAGCTTGCAATGCATATTTCATATATCTGTACTCTGGTTTTCTGAAGCCTCAACACATCTTGGATGGGTCTATTTGCAATTTTCCACCTGAGTAGGCCTCTCAACATCTCTCATTAGTTTGACATAGATACTTCTCTCTGGCAATCATAACTCCTTAATTAATATACACAAATACAAACAACAAATCTCCAACTAGCAAAAGAATCTGAGTGGCCCAAATAATACTATTGATCAACATGGCCATGTTAACAAATTATACAATGCCTCAATTAGTTATTTCACTTTGCAGTACTACTACAGCCTGGTAGTTTCCAGGGCACACACTGGCTTACAGGATTACACTCGATATCAAAATAAAAAATTTTGAATTAAAAAATAAAGATAAATAATTTGGAAAATGCAGGCCTACTTCTCCATGCACTCTTGCACGGTCATGCATTAGTTGATTAGCATAGTTATCCAAATATATTTACCTGACTTGGGCCACCTGAAAAGAAAAACTGATTATAAGAATGTAATATGAACAAATTGATTTTATAAAAAAAAAGTTCTGTAGAGTTGCATTATCTGACTTGCACTTCACAACTGCTATCTATGGATAACACCCCATAATAAAAACAGCAGAATTTATAAACCATAACTCTATAAAATGCCAGAGGTATCAAAGACTTCAACCAATCCATACCTAAATGGAAAATTGAATTCCCATATTTCATTGATGAAAACCTAAAGTAATTCCTCCATATCAACTCGAGCAACGAACTTTTGGTTTTAAGCAAAACTGCCTCAAGAAGCAAGCTTACTGAATGCATTGACAATACATTAGGAAGCACATTATCAATCTTGGAACATGGTTTTCTTTGTTTGGTTCTTTCAGCAATACATAAATAAACTATTAAATTATATTATTTGAGTAGTGATACATATAATAATCCATTAAAAACTAAGTCTAAAATATTTACTCTTTTGCTTAGTTCATGAGAGATAACATTAAGAACCGTGATGCTGTTATTCGATAGTCACCTTGGGGAGCTTCAGTACCCAGAGACAATGATATAATGTGAACCCCATCTCTTATTGCATCATCAAAGGCAGCTAGTAAGTCAACATCATAGCAACCAGAATCCCAACATGTTTTGTACACAGCAATTTTAGCCATAGGTGCACCTCCCCTAGCTTCTCCAGCTGCCAGCCTCATATAATTCATGTTTGCCACGTAGCGTCCTGCTGCTGTGGAAGCTGTATGGCTCCCATGACCAGAACTATCCCTTGGAGATCTGAAAGAGGCTTTTAGAATTGTTGTTAAATAAAAATTAGTTGGCTTGTTGGTCTTATTTAGTTTGGTTCCTCATAATTCTTCTTAGGTCTATTTTCACTCCTTTAGGCCTCAATCCTTTAAATCCTATTAACGGCTTTCATTCTTTCTAAGCAGATTCTCCTTCATGATCCAATGGGCTATTTCCTAATGATATTTATATCTTTTGTAATTTTCCTATTATTGTTCCTAAAATTTTTGGAGATGTTTCAATAATCACTATTGATATTGTATTTAGATTTTAAAGACTTGGGCATAGTTAATTGTACTTGGGATAACACCTGTCTAAATAAAAAACATGAAAATCTCCATCCGCTAATTAATATGCTGAAACCCCCGTGATCCAACTTTTGTTATGAAGTAAAATGTATCAAAAGTGAAAACAGTACCATTACCATACTTATGACAGGAAGTTCCTACCAAAGAATTTTTGTTGCCCTTAGGTTAATGAAATGAATAACAGTCCTTGCTTTTAATGAGAAAGAATTTGAAGAAAAGAGGATCAGTCCTTCAAAATTCAACCTTGGGAACTTTTTTAATATTTTTTTATTTAATAAATAAGTGACAAAGAAGGATAAAAATTTCAACAACAAAGAGATAACCAGTAAGCATGGATGCAATTCTCCATGGTTTTTCCGTCCAGAAGTCCTATGAAGTCCCATGAATGAGTGGTATGCAGCTTTCTTTTAGAATTGGGAAAAACAGAAACCACTCCCGGCATTTCTGGTCAAATTTGAACATAACAAAAAACTAATTTGTCCTTAAAGGAAATTATAAACTTAAAAAAAAAAACCAACTTCAAACGAACATGACTCACGAGATCAAAAAAGGGTTAAATTAAGAGGACAAGCTACAATAAACTAATTAAGCAATTACAGACTTTATCATAATCAGATTATACAGATTCAATTGAGAAAAGAGAGGATCATAATCAGAAAAATTAACAGATAATAAAAAAAAATATCATAATCACCATCAACACGCTGTTGAAAACGCTCGAACTGCAACAATTGAGAAGCGATCTTCGAGATTCCGGTGACGGCTTTGTTCGAGGAGAGAAGGGAGAGCGAGCTCTTGAAGCTTCCGCCGATCTCCACGAGATCGTTCCGGATTCCGGTGAGAGTTTGCGAAGACGAGGAATCGCCGGCATAAGAAGAAGAAGAAGATGGCGGTGGAGCGAGGAAGTTGGCGACGCTGCGGAAAATAAGCGATATGTCATCCTTGACGCCGTGGCGATCGGCGGTGGTGAGCGGCGCCGGCGCCGACGAAGAGCAGTTGGTAACGGTGCGGTGAAGGTGCGAAGATTCAGGGTCAGGGTGGTTGGACTTGAAATAGAACCTTGGGACGAGACAATTACGATCCAGTATAATTCAAACCGAGATGATATGCCCCATTCATCCAGTCACTTGTCGGCAAACCAGGGAAGAGACTCAGAGCGAGATGCCACCCTAAAGTAGGCATCCTTGAAGCCTTTAAAGGATTGGGAATACGAAATGAAGATACCCCTTCTTGGAGTACCTCGAAGGGTTACCCACCCTCTCCTTTCTTTGGCCTCGGCCCCCGTCCGAGAAGTATATACATCAAAGAAAAAGAAGAAAAGAGAAACTGTACAAGGGAGATAGAGGTAGGCACACACTTTCACAAAACCCCGGATAAAGGCCCAAGAATTTGGGTGAAGCTGCGAGGGTGCAACCCTAAGTCGGCGGATCACGGCCAGTTGGAACTCGGAAAAAGGAAACCGAATTCCCAGCTTCGTTATGAGGTCTCGATAAAAATAGAAGAAATGAGGCTCATCCAATATGGGACCTGAACATACTGGGAAGTCGCCTGGGGGAACAAGATCAACCCCGTTGGGATTCCCAACCGGAAGCTGGGCAATGTCGGCAGGAGACATGGTGGACCGCAGTTGTAAGACTTCAAGAAGAACCCAATCTTGACTATCGGACCCGTCCATAATTTCAGCCCTGGAATATGAAGGACAAGGGTCAGTACACATCTCAATTAAATTTGACCTCGGACTCCCAGAGTCGAAGGGTAACGACGACGGACTCCAAGAAAGAGGAAGGGAGTTATCCGAACTGCTGACAAGGTCAACGAGCGGTACCCGACTTGAAGCAGTATCATCTGGGCCAAAGATGACCGATTCAGGAAAACCTAGCTCGGACGAAGAAAAACTGGAAGAGCTATCGCTCAAACCCAGAGGAGGAATCCGGTCAAGCACGGACCTCGGACTAGGAGTTACCTGGGAGGAAGGTAAGATATAAGATAGAGGGACAGGGTCGACAAAAGAATTCGACCCATGAGCTGAGGATTCGCTAAAGAAGGGCTGACTGGGCTAAAATTGAGCTGACCCTGACGACCTTTCCCTCTCCTGCCGCGGCCTGGGCGAGATCTCCGATGACTTCCCTTATAACCACGGAGAAGCAGTTGAAGCTTCTCCTCCTCAGTATATTCTTTATTAAAGAGCCAGTATTAGACTGACCTAGGCAATTGCCTTACTACCTCCTCACTTACTTCATCACCTTGGCCAGAAACTGGACCGGAAGAAGAACCGAGGGCGTCCATAAGAAACCCTCAAACAAGCTACAGAGGACCCCCAAGAACAAAATGCTTCGACAAACGCAAGTCTAGTATGAAGCGAAACCATGTGCCCTAGAGTCTTAAAGATTATGTGGCCAACAAACGGTAAAACATGCACCAAGCAAATACTTGAGATGATGAAGTAACTGGAGAAAATAAACAAAAGCAGGAAGATACGTGGCCAGAAGGAGAGCAGAAAAACCAAAAGAAGCCTGACAAGAGAGGTGCAGGGTAGAAGCTCAATACAGAGAGAAGAGCTCTGAATAAACGCCACACGCAGTAAAAAGGTTATGAACAAACCGAAATGAGGAATTTATAGGAAACCCAAAACTCTTGGGCGCGAAGACAAAGAGCCTCAAAACGGTTGACGAACAAGGGGCAATAAGGACACTTCACTACGCACATTAAATGCATCCCATCATAACATGCACAAAGACAAGACGACGCACCCTGCACGATGCACGAACCGCCAATGAGCACAGAACACGTGGATCGTCGTAACCGTCACAGCAAGCGTGATACAAAAGGTCAGGATGAAGTGATAAGGCCAAGCCCCGACTTCCGAGCTCCAATTGCGCCATGACGTCTCAAATCAAATAAAGGTCGACCAAAAGATCATAGCCAAAGGTTGCAACATGTCTGAAAATGTCAACTCGGTCCAGCACAACGGAATTAAAATTCGGAAAAACGATATCCAAAATCTCAAAATGAGCTCAAGTCGCATCCGACATGCCCCCACTCAACTATACATACGAACATCAAGGAAGATCAAGGGGCATAACGCGTACGATCTTGACGAAAGCAACTCCGAGTTAGAGCGCCGACGTCAAAAACTCGAAATTCCAAACCTGGGGTCAACGAACTCGGACAAAACAAATCCGAGGTAACATAACAACACCTCGACATCCCGAACCTCAGAATACCGAGTTGGGGGCAACTGTTATGGATATGAATATCATATCCCAACTACCTATCAGAATATTTTGTGAGATACAGAGCCATCAACATCTCAACAACTCCAAACAGCCAAAGAGCACAAGATAAGGATCACATCCCAACAGAAGGGGAGTTGAATCCTACTACAATTGGAGAATCTCAAAAGGCCCAAGCCTAGGAAGGTAATCCTATAAATAAGAGCCTAAGGACCCCAGGTAAACACTTAGAATTCATTTCCTACTTCTGCCCACGCTGTACACACACCCACCGCTTGGCTATAAGCCTATTGCTTGTGCGCAGTGATTGGGACCTCGGCTATAAGCCTAATATATAGTTGATATACACTATCTCTGAGCGCATACCCTACGATATAGCAATACGGTCTATCCAACACCTAACAAAGATAACCACAATCCTTCACATTTATCCAAATGAAAAACAAAGCCCAATTACGCGTTCTACTATTCTAGGCTTGGAAAATTCTCAATCACACTTTTAATTTTTTTTTTTTTTTTTTTTTTTGTATAGTATCACACTTTTAATTCTCTCTGATGTTGCTTATAAGATTGAGATTTTTTATTTTTATTTTTGCTATTTTAAGGTCAACGTGTTGTTCCTATAAATAAGGGACTTTCCACAAGGGCCCTTAGCCGAATAGCCCATTGAGCGACCTATTTATAAAGGGTGACACAACACACTTCGATTGCATCATCTCAGAAAAAACAGACCAAAATCTATTTCTTTTTCTTCCCTTCACTTTTATTTGTACGAGGTGGTACACTCTATATGTGTTCCTCTGAGCCTGTCTCTGTCACACACACACTCTCTACCCAAAAAGCCTAAAACGTAAAACCCATCCTCTTTCTTCTTTCTTCAAAATCTTCGACCTCGTCAATTCGATCGAAACGCGTTTCGGGGCACTTCTTCTTATTCGCGCTCTCATCTCAAGCATTGCCGTAACTTTTATGGACTATGAAATTCCCGACAGTAGCGGTGAGCATCATTGGCTTTTTCCTCGTACTTCATCGAAATTACATTTTAGGGTTTTTGTTTTTCTTTCTTTGTTGTTCTAGTTAGTTATGCGCGGTCAAATACGTTGTCGTTTTTTTGTTTTTAAATCGATTTTTCGTTGATTTGTTTTGCGATTCTTAAATTGCTGGACGAGGTGTCTCTAGCATCCTAGTTGATTGTTATCTTATGTTGAAGATAATTTATATTCGGAACTTTCCATGAAATTGCTTGTTGTCACATTTGTGCAGAGAATGTGCAGTTAGGGTTTAACTCTAATCAATAGGAACTGTTTGTTTGTATTGTGTTGTGTACTTAAATAATTTATAAGTACCTGAAGATAGAAACATGGTGGCACAAATTCGTGTAGACAAATTCTCACTTAGGTTAGTTTTATGAGGTGCGCAGTACCAATATTTTGCAAGTTGGTAAAGGGACAGAGCTTGAACTAAGTGTGTATTCATGTAGGAATTCCTTGATTGGTGTTTGTGCATTCAATACTTATGTATGAATACTTGAAATTGGAATTCAAGTGCACAAGTTATACAAGGGAATCTCTTACTGGGACTTTTTTTTTTTGGCATGCAGTGTGCTAAATGATCAAGCAAGTTGGTAAAGAGCTAAAGCTGGTGGCGTAGGTATTTTGAAGGAACTAAATTATAGAAGTAGTTTTCTGGTAGGCAAACCTGCCATTAAGTGTAGTTTCCTGCATGTATTGATTGAGGTACTGCTGGGTAGGAGAAGGTGATCTAGCAATCCTAGCCATTACAAAGGGCAACCATGATGCATGACACATGACACTTCTAAAGCAGCTTTACAGAGCCTTATACTTTGACCATATTTTTATCTTTTGAACTCTGATGATCGCTCAAAATTATTTCCTTATTATTGTAGGTGTAGTTGGTGACCTGTGAAAGCCATAGAATCCTGCTCATTTTCTAGGATTTTTTTCATGTACTTGTAAATTGAATTATATGCCTAGACTCTAGGCTTTGCCAAAACTAGGAAATCAAATAAAATTATCATTTTAGAGAAGCTCAAATTGTTGGATAACCTGGAAAGTGAGAATGAAATAGTTAAAGAGGGGGAGGGAGCAAAAGATAATTGATTGTACATGATCATAGATAAAATTGGAAATGAACATTTAAAAGAAATCCTCTTTTCTAGAACCAAGAAATATTTCTTGTTAACAGCATTCACGTATAAGATCCTTTCCATCTGGAATACATGAATAAGATTATTAAGAAAAATTGAACTTGGAAATTATCATTCATGTCATCTTTGTTTCTTATATGTAAGTTCCTTTTTCATAATACATTATTAGAGTAGATGAGGTGTACAGCTTATACAGCTGTACACAGGGTCAATCTTGTAATTAGCCATAGGGTCATTTCTGTAATTAGCAAACTCATTCAGTTCAGCTAACTAATTCTGGTTACAACTAAACCAGATGACGTGGCATATTTGTAAGGTCTATATTAGACCATTGTGTAACACATGTACGATCAATGAATCACTTTATTCTTTTTCTTTCTGTTCACTTTCGCTCTCTCTTCTCTCTCTCTATGACTTCTTTGATGGTATCAGAGCCCTCTCTCTGAGGGCCTGATACAGATCCAACCACTTGATGTTTTCCGCTGCGCATCCACCGTCTCAGTCGTCTTCAGCTGCCAGAACAACCACCGGAAATGGAACGACAGAGCACCGGTCATCTTCTCCGTCACTGTTCACGCATCAGATCTCCGTCAAACTTACAGAAAGCAACTTTCTGATCTGGAATCAAGTTGTAGAACCAGTAATCACATCTCATGAACTTCATCACTTTCTTGTTAACCCTAAGATACCGCTTCAGTTCGAATCTGAGCAAGCTCGTGTTGATGAAGCTGTTAATCCACTTTATACTGAGTGGATTCGTCTGAGCAAGCTCGTGTTGATGAAGCTGTTAATCCACTTTATACTGAGTGGATTCGTCACGATCAAATGCTTTTTTCATGGATTCTGTCTACTGTCTCAGAAGAAATCTTGAACGAGATCCTCGGTGTTTCTCATGCGTATGAAGACTGGGAGCAAATTCACAAGTTTTTCCAAGGTATGATGAAGTCCAAAACTCATCAACTCAGATCTGAACTTCGCACCATCAAGAAAGGTGGCAGATCTGTTGCTGAATATCTTCGTCGAGTTAAAACTATTTGTGATGAGTTAAAGGCTATCAAAAGTCCGATCTCAGTTGAAGAACAAACTGAACTGATTTTAGCTGGTCTTCCACCTGATTTTAATGCGTTTGTTACTGCTGTTCAAGCTCGTGAAAATCCATACTCACTCAATGATTTACGTGTTTAACTAATGTTTTATGAAATGATGCTTGCTAGGCAGAACGAAACTCTTCTTTCAGATTCAATGACTGTTAATGTAGTTCAGAAGATATCCTCAGATCCAAAAGAAAGTTCAAGATCTGATTCAACAGCTATGAGACCTCCTTTTGCTCCTATTCAAGCAAGTCAGAATCAAAGGTCTTATAATACAAATAATGAAAGAGGAAGAGGAAGGTTTTATGGTAGAAATAACAGAGGAGGAAGAGGCAGAGGTCGAAGCAATATTCAATGTCAACTCTATTACAAATTTGGACATGGAGTTCAAAGTTGCTGGTATAGATTTGATGAGAATTTTGTGCCTAAGTTCTCATCACCAGAAGCTCACCAGTTCTTTCCACAACCACAACCCTTATTTCAGAGATCATTTCAGTACAACAGACCTGCCAATGTCAACCAGCCTCAAGCTTTGTTGACCACAAATCAACCTCAACATCATGCTTCACAGCTTTGCAATATAGCTTCACAATCTCAAGGACAAGGACTCTTACCTACTCCTTCAAATGTTCAGTCCATAGAGTGGTATCCAGACTCAGGTGCCTCTCACCACGTGACTGCCAATCCTCAAAACCTTCTACAAAGCACACAACTGTCAGGTGCAGACCAGGTTTACATAGGAAACAACCAAGGTTTGCGAGTCAATGCTACGGGTTGCTCTTCCTTTTCTTCTCCCCTCCAACCACACACTCACCTACATCTTAACAATTTATTACTTGTTCCCTCCATAACTAAAAATCTCATCAGTGTAAGTCAGTTTGCTAGAGATAACAGTGTTTATTTTGAATTTCACCCTTTCACTTGCTTTGTCAAATCTCAGGCATCTCATGAGGTCTTGCTGGAAGGTGCTTTGGGAACTGATGGATTGTACCGTTTTCAAGGAGTTAACCTTTACCCCAATTCAAGTCTGCCATCAAGCCAACAGTGTGCTTCTGTTTCTAAGTCCAATTCGGATTCTTGTAGTCAAATTCTTTATGTACTAGTTACAGTGTTTCAGCTTGTACTGATACTCCACTCACCAATGTACTCACACCAAACACATCTAATAAAGTCAGTAGCTCAAGTCCTATAGGGTCAAACTATATGTACTCTCTTTGGCATTGTAGACTGGGTCATCCTCACACTGAGGCTCTGAATTCAGTTCTCAAGTCTTGTAATATTCCTGTGCCTAATAAATCTGATATTTCCTTTTGTTCTGCGTGTTGTTGGGGAAAAATACATAGTTTACATTCTGGTCCTTCTACCAAAGTGTATGAAAAACATTTTGACCTTGTTTTTAGTGATCTGTGGGGTCCAGCTCCTGTCAAGTCCTCAATGGGCTTCACTTACTACATATCTTTTGTAGATGCCCACTCTAGATACACTTGGATTTATCCCCTCAAACAAAAGTCAGAAGCATTGGTTGTTTTTAATCAATTTCAAGCACTTATATCAAACAATTTTCAGTCCACTATTAAAGCTCTTCAAACTGATTGGGGTGGAGAGTTTAGACCTTTTCATCAACATCTTAAAAACCTGGGAATAATTCACCGGTTGCCTGTCCTCACACCCATCATCAGAATGGTGTTGTTGAAAGAAAGCATCGTCGTATAGTTGAAACTGGTCTTACCTTACTTGCTAATGCATCCCTACCCATCAAATTGTGGGACCATGCCTTTATCTCAGCTGTGTATCTCATTAATTCTCTTTCTACTGCTGCCTTGAATTTTGAAGTTCCTTCTATCAAACTACACAAAACAATGCCTGACTACAAGTCATTCAAGGTCTTCGGTTGTGCTTGTTTCCCTTTCCTAAGACCATACAACAATCACAAACTGGACTTTAGGAGCAGTGAGTGCATTTTCCTTGGCTATTCTCCTACTCACAAAGGCTACAAGTGCTTGAACTCTTCTGGCAGATTGTTTGTTTCTAAAGATGTCCTTTTTAATGAGTCAAAGTTTCCTTACCTTTTTTGGTACAGTTCATCATCCAACAATGCTACTGCTCATTCCTCTCCTCCTGTTTCTAATTTGATCCCTTTGGTAGACTCCCATATTAAGTCTAATGCTCCTGTACGTCCATCACTCTCCCCATCACAGCAGAGCTTGACCACTCAAAGTTCCCAAGCATCCAGCAACAACACCTCATCACCACCATGTACCGTAGCTCAAGCAGATTCTTCTTCATCATTCTCAAGTCCTGTTCGCTCTTCTGGCATGTCACCTTCACACAACATTTCTTCCAACTCTCAGTCAGTCTCAACTACAGCCTCTTCAGGTTCAAATTCTCCTGTTCCTATTTCCTTTAGTTCTTCTTCTCCTTCTTCTGTTGCCTCTGGTTCCGAATATATACCCTCTAGACCTCTTCACATTTCACCTTCTCACATCATCACTACCCGCTCCAACACTGCTCCCCACCCACAAATCTTGTCCACCTCTCTTGAACCTGTCACCATCAAACAAGCCTTGGCCAATCCCAACTGGTCTGCTGCTATGCAATCTGAAATGTGTGCACTTCATGCTAACTCAACTTGGTCTTTGGTTTCTCTTCCTCCCAACAGAACTGCAATTGGTTGCAAGTGGGTTTTTCGTGTTAAAGAAAATGCTGATGGCACTCTCAACAGGTATAAAGCTAGGTTGGTGGCCAAAGGTTTTCATCAGCAAGCTGGGTTTGATTACACAGAAACTTTTTCCCCAGTAGTTAAGCCTATTACCATCCGCATCATTCTTACTGTTGCTATCTCCTTTGGCTGGACATTAAGGCAACTGAATGTCAATAATGCCTTTCTTAATGGCACTCTTGATGAAGAGGTGTACATGCAACAGCCTCCTAGCTTTGAGTCCCCAAATAAATCACTGGTCTGTCAGTTACATAAAGCCCTTTATGGCTTGAAACAGGCCCCAAGAGCTTGGTTTGATAAGCTCAAAACATCTCTACTGCATCTTGGATTCGTTGCTAGTAAATGTGATCCTTCACTATTTATCTACAGGAAGTCTGCACAATGTGTCTTTCTCTTGGTTTATGTTGATGATATAATCATCACTGGAAATGACTCCAGCTTTATTCAGACTCTTATTCAGAAACTTGATTCTGAGTTTGCTCTCAAGGATCTTGGGAATCTTGATTTCTTTCTTGGTGTTGAGGTTCAGAGAACATCTTCTGGAGCACTGCTTCTTACTCAGTCAAAATACATTCGCAGCTTTCTTAGTAGAGCTCATATGGCAGAAGCCAAAGGTATTTCTACCCCACTTCAATCTGGCTGCAAACTCTCCAAATATGGGTCCAATTACTACTCAGATCCATCCTTCTATCGTTCCATTGTTGGGGCTCTCCAATATGCTACACTTACTAGACCTGATATCAGCTACTCGGTTAACAAAGCTTGCCAATTTATGGCTCAACCTCTTGAAGAGCATTGGGCTGCAGTCAAGCGGATTTTACGTTACTTGAATGGCACCCTCCATCATGGTATGTTGCTGCAGCCATGTCATCCAAGTCACTTATTCTCTATCACTGCATTTTGTGATGCAGATTGGGCTAGTGACCCAGATGATAGACGGTCTACTTCAGGAGCATGTATCTTTTTTGGCTCCAACTTGGTGTCATGGTGGTCCAAGAAGCAGAATCTGGTTGCACGGTCCAGCACTGAGGCTGAGTATCGCAGCCTTGCTCTAGCTACAACAGAGGTTCTCTGGCTAAAATCTCTCCTTCATGAGCTCCAAATTCAGTTTGGCACTCCTCTCATTCTTGTGACAATCTGAGTACTGTCTCCCTGTCTCATAATCCAGTCCTTCATGCTAGGACTAAGCATATGGAATTGGATATATTCTTTGTCAGAGAGCGTGTTATTGCTAAAGAAATCCGCGTCTGCCACATTCCTTCCTTGGATCAAGTTGCTGACACTCTTACAAAAAGCTTATCTGCCTTCAGGTTTGCTGTTTTGAGGGACAAACTCAAGGTGGTTGACTCTCTCAGTTACCTTCATCCACCCTGAGTTTGAGGGGACATATTAGAGTAGATGAGGTGTACAGCTTATACAGCTGTACACAGGGTCAATCTTGTAATTAGCCATAGGGTCATTTCTGTAATTAGCAAACTCATTCAGTTCAGCTAACTAATTCTGGTTACAACTAAACCAGATGACGTGGCATATTTGTAAGGTCTATATTAGACCATTGTGTAACACATATACGATCAATGAATCACTTTATTCTTTTTCTTTCTGTTCACTTTCGCTCTCTCTTCTCTCTCTCTATGACTTCTTTGATACATTGTCAGGGACTGATGATGATCTTCCTCCCTCAAGTCAACATAGAATTCTAAGAGGTAGTAGTGTTGCAGGCAATGGAATATCTGCTGTAGCTTCTGTTCCACACTCTAGATTGTATAGTGACATGGAGGCTCAAATTCATCAACTTGAGCAAGAAGCATACTCTGCTGTCTTGCGTGCTTTCAAAGCTCAGTCTGATACACTTACTTGGGTATATATCCTTAGTTCCCTCAGTGCCTTTTATATTTACTTGTATTTTCTTGATTTGAAGATTTTTCTCCTGTATTTTATTTTATATATTCATCAGGACAAGGAAGGTTTGATTACAGAGCTTAGGAAAGAGTTGAGGGTTTCAGATGATGAACACAGAGAGCTTCTTACCAGGGTTGATGCTGATGAAATAATCCACTGCATAAGGTATTGTAATTATTTGAGTAGTTGCAATGGTTTAGCAAAACAAATATTCAGTTTTTTTCATCTATTGCAAAATGCAATCAGGGAGTGGCAACAAACTGGCTGTTACCAACCTCCAAGACGCAGCACATCTCAGCCTGTTCATGACATTTTACCTAGTCCAACTGTTTCTGCTTCCCGTAAAAAGCAGAAGACATCCCATTCGGTACCACCTTCTTTAGCAAATTACGTGATTTGAGCTTTAATGCCACTATATTCACTAATGCAACTGGAGCGTGCTTTAGGAGCTAGAGGCCTAGAGCCTAATAATTTCATTGCACATGAATTTCTTTACTGGAGAAGTACAAAGAAAAAGTAATTTATTGATGTCCATTTGATTTTTTATTTTCCACCAATTTTGGAACCAGGGTCAGTCATTGCCTGGTTTGTCTACAGTGAAGCCTGTACAGTACACTTCTACTGGACCAACTGGAGGTAGGTATTTCACAAATCGCAATTCTTCTAATGCTCTTGCATCTAATGCACCTGCTGAAGCAGCAGCTTTTGACCCATTGATTGGGAAGAAAGTTTGGACTAGATGGCCTGAAGACAACCACTTTTATGAGGCTGTCATAACTGATTACAACCCTGCTGAGGTGTGTTAAGGTCTTAATAACTGTCAAAATCATACATATATTTTAATGAAGTTAATGCCTCATTCATTGAATTTTCATTAGGCTCATTGTCTTTTGATGTTTAAGGATGAATTATGTGGGTAAGTCTAATTTTTTTTTCATAAGTGAGATGCCCTTTTTTTTTGGAGTTTGGTTTCCCAGTGTACCAAGTTACAGAGAATGACAAGTATGCAAACTTATTCTTATTTTTTTATTTTTTTCTGGCTACAAAAACTTATTCATATTTATTTCATAGAGGATATAGCATGCATCTTTAATGTCAACCTCTACAAGTAAGTACCCGTTTAGACGGTCATTTTTTAGCTTCTCTTCTCCTAATAAGGAGAAGCTTCTTCAAGTAAGGAGAAACTTCTCTTTTTTTAGCTTCTTGGCCAAACATATTTTTTACAAAAGCTCTTATCATAAAAAGAGCTTTTTTTTAATAATGAATAAAAAAAGAAAAAGCTAAAAGCTTCCAAGAGGAGTTTTTTTTAAGATGTATGTCAGTTTTTTGGAGTTCTTGTATTTATTTTTCAGTTTCTCACTTATTCTAAACTTGTATTTATAAATTTTATCCTTTATCCTAATAATTTATCTTAATAACAAATCATTTCATCTCCCTTTTTCAAAACCCTAAGAACAACTTTATATAATCACCGAACAACTTTTAGCTTTATTTTTTAAGCTCTTTTTTTTTTAACTTTAGTTTCAAAGTAGCTTTTAGCTTAAAAAAATGCTCCAAACAGGCTCTAAGTATATATAAAGTCATCCCCCAATCATCCAGATGGAAAAAAATGCTTAAATTTGATGGGGGCATAAATCGGGAAGTGCAAGGCAGCATAATATTAAATAAAATTTCAAATAATTTCTTGGTGAACTTTTCTTCAAATTTGTTTTTTCTTTGCAGGGCCGGCATGCTTTAGTTTATGATATTAATAAAGCAAATGAAACTTGGGAATGGGTTGACCTCAAAGAGGTATTTATTTCCTATTTTTTATGCATATGCAGCAGAGCAGTTACTAATTAGATTTTAACAGTTACATTGAGTGAAGCACCAGTAAAAAATATTTTAATGAAAAGAATAACATCAAGGTTTTTTCACCCTTTTACCCCTTATTAATTAATTAATAATCATTTTGCCCCTGATTCGAAACTATTTATCAATCTGCCCCTCTTTAGTCAACTACCTTGCATTTTTAATCGACTAAATGGCCAAAACAGACAAAAAATGGCTGCTGGGAGATTTAGTCGACTAAATCTCCCTATTTAGTCGACTAAATCTTCATATTTGACCAAAAAAAAAATAAGTCAGTATGATTGTAATCGATTAAGTAGGGAGATTTAGTCGATTAAATCTCCCAACAATCGTTTAGTCGATTAAAAATGCAAGGTAGTCGATTAAAGAGGGGCAGATTGGTAGATAGTTTCGAATCAGGGGTAAAATGGTTATTAATTAATTAATAAGGGGCAAAAGAGTGAAAAAGCCATAACATCAAACTATGTGAAATGACCTTGAAAAATATAACACTTTTAAAGATGACAGCAATAACAACCGTAAGGAAATGATTTTTTGGCCACTTCTGTTAAATTGGATCTAGAAGCCAAGTTTTATGTGGTTGAGTACCAACTGCACTTTGAGAACAGTTTAAAGGGTAGCAGAAGAATGACTGGAATTTGCAGGGGTTCCACTCCCTCATTAAATGTAACTTGAATCCTGCTATGATTTTTTTTTATTATGGCCTAATACTAAAGATATTTCCTTCATTACCCTTCCATTATCATTTAATTGATTTTATCTTGTCTTTTTACCATCAAACATCATATTTATAGATAGTTTATCTTCTCTGATCTTAATCTTATTTGGTACCTGTCTTTAGTCAAATGAATCATTTTCTTCCTTTGTTTGTGCCTCATTTCCTCCCTTCCTTGTGAACTTGTACCCCACTTGCTTGTGAGATATACAAGAACACTGCTTCTTGAACGAAGGTTATGACTAGGGAACTTTAGAACTTCATCTGGAAGTGATTGAACAAGAAACGAAAAGAAACATACTATTTCAATATCAGTCTAGAGTACTGTAAAATATTTGAGTTGTTTAAGTTGAGAAAGTTCGGGGGGATTTTAGGAGAAAAAAGTGAATTGAGGAACATAGGTTGAGATGGTCTGGGATGTTCTTTGAAGACCCCGGTAAGAAAAGAAGTTTGTTACTGAGAGCATGATATAAAGAAAGGAAAATGTTGACCAAAACTTGGGAAAGTAGTAAAACAAGATTTAGTGGAGTGGGAAATAGATTGGCTTGCGTTTTGTCTTGTGACGGAGTGGAGGAAAACTATCAGTATTGTGGAAACCTTTCAAACATTATGATATTTCATTGTATGATACTAACAACTATGTTCGTTCTGAATATGCAAGCTGTTTGTGCATAATAAATCATCTTTCTTGTTATGTTATAAGTTGCTGGTTTAAATGAGATAAAAATCAACACAGAAGATTTGACTGTTTCTATCCCAAAATATATATATGTTATTACTATGTAGATATATGCATTTGTCAGAAATGATTTTTTATGTTTTAAGAATATTTATGCCTTATTGATTGCAGATCTCACCTGAGGATATTAGATGGGAAGGTGAAGATATAGGCATAATTCACAGAGGTGGACATGGTGGACAAGGTCGTGGAGTTAAGAAATTCTTTAACCGGAGTGGTGATACTTCAGGTGCTGGAAGAGGGAGAGGACATCCCAAGTTTCAGTCAAGAAGAGAATTTCCCCCACCACAAAATGGTATTGTAAGGAGAGTTTTGGATGACATTGAGTTGATGAACACAGATTCACTGGTTAAGGAGGTAGATATGACATGCCTAAACAACATTGTTGAGACCAAGAGAACGATAGAGAAATTGCTTGAGTTTTTAACAACGCTGATATTATAACAGGTGGAAAGGATTTTTGCTGCAAGTCCTCCAGATTCTGTGGAACTTGAGAAGGCAAAGAAAATGCTGAAAGTATGATTACCAATCATCATGTAGTTCCTTATTTTTAAACTTCATGTTCTATGGATATTTAGTATGCTCTAATCATTGCTTGTGTTGTTGCATAGGAGCATGAGCAGGCACTTGTTGACGCAATTGCAAGGATTGCAGATGCATCGGATGGTGAAAGTGGTAATAATTAGAAGTCCACATAATATTGCTGCATATTGTTGTATATTGAAACCCTTTTTTTTATTTAGTTTAACGAAGTTAACTTTTTGTAATTGAATAAAAAATATTTTATTATGCTATCATCCTCAACCACAGATTTAAGCAACTCTAACCGGGAAAAAACATTTTAGCTTTTCTGTATTTTGGGTTAAAACAGTGCAAGGAGAATGAAACCAAGAAAAAGGGAAGGGAGAGGTAACCAGAGTAAAAATGATTGGACTCTTATTTGTGCACATCGTTTATTTTAGATTGAAAGAAGTGTATCATAATAGGTGGTGCATATTATACTTCAGTGGTAGGCATGTTTGCACAATTGGTGATGCCTGAGATCGCCACTGAATGTAGAGATTAAGCATTATATGCTTATTACAAATAATTTTTATGGTTGTAATTGTGTAACTATTTTGCTGCGTGCCTTATTTACAGCTGGAGAACAACACTTCTTGCATGGGCAATTAATGGACAGGGGATGAGAGCATAGCAACCAGCTACATGGAGGAGGTAATCGTCTTTGAAGATGATCGTTAGCTCTCATGGAAGTTTAATTATGGATGAGTACACATAGGATCCAACAGCATCTAATGATCAAGATTGTCTTCTTACTGATGCGCTTTCTCTGTCATTTCTCTTTCTTTACCGTCCCTACTCTTGCCTATAAAAAATGCCTACATGTCAGTTTTGTGCTTAATGGCGATTATTAAGAATAGAGTCTCACATTTACAAGGCACATCAATTTTTTATGTCTGCATGCAACTGTAAAATACTAAAATCATTTTTTGTTTTGGAAACACGATGAGAAATGAAAAAAAAAAATTATTTGATGTAATATTCTCTCAATTAGCCGATATCTCTTGAGACACAACTTTAACAAATACTGTGAATGTCTTTAATACTTGCGACCACCTTAATCTTCATTCCTGCAACACAAAGCAATGAGACCGTTTCATCACAAAGGAGATTAAAATTGGATTGACATTGATATGTACTAGAGAAACTCACATTTGTGGCAAAATCCATCTCCTATTATCATAATGGGAATTTGAAGCTGTTGATTGAGTTAGAAGGGTATTTCCAAAACGCATAATTTCAAGTATTTGATTGGCTGCGGCCTACAGTGAAAGATTATGCAACTTCATCCACTGAAGTAGATAAGCCCATAAGGGCTTGCTGATTTGTGACAACCTTTATTGATAAAAAGTGTGTTCATAAACCACCAAGCATAGTAACTCCAGTACCCTGCAAATGTTAAGTGAGCATTGTTTGGACTACTGTTTAAAATAAAGCACAGAATGACCCTGGGAAGCAAATTTTAAAGGAATTACAATGTGGTTCATTTTTATGGTATTACATTGGAGAATATTACTCTCATGTTACATGAGAGAAAATTCTCTCATGCACCCATAAATCAAAGGTAGAATCCACTTTATATTTTTTCTCTTTTTTAATTTGTGAGTGCATGAGAGAATTTTTCTCTCATATAACATGAGAGTAATATTCTCCTATTACATTTTATATTTTATGTTGAGAAGCCATTATATCCTGCTACATCCTTTAGGATGACAGCAATCCAAATTTATGAACTTAGAATAACAGTATATACTAGTACTGTGCGAAAGAGCTACTAACCAAGCCATAATGATCCGGGTTCAAATGCTGGTAGAGTCCAAAAAAAAAAACCAATGAAAACATGAAGACTGTATATACCACCAAGAGTTACACACATGGAATGTTATCTAATTCCATAAGGATGACTAACATCAAATTCTAATCCCAATAGCCAAAGCTAATACAGAAATTAAGATCCTTTACCATCCTCTAGAAATGCTGAATCATCCTAAAGGTTTTTTTTTTCTTTTAATCTTTTCTTTCTATTTAACTAATGAGAAGGATTGTTATTTGATAGGATATCACCCATGCTCAGTGCATAATAAATGAATGGTGAATTCGGTATTTATTATGGGTATCAATCAGGGTGATTTTGTATTCATAAGTGATTGATTCGTAATTATGGGGGATTGATTATGTAATTATGAAGTAGATTCATGGGTGATTGATTATATAATTATGGGTGATAATCCTGTATTATGTGGCATCTGTTGTAAATAAGAAAGAGAAGGGAGTCATTTGGAGACTATTTCAGTGATTAGAAATTGGGAGTTGGAAGTGCCCCTCAAAAGCCCCACCCATTCAGTCATTTATCTTGTTAAGAGTGATTTAATCCACTGTACTTGGGATTTATCACTATTTTGTTATAATAATAATATAACATCAAAAAAAAATTCCCGTTTTTATCTCTCTATTTTTTGTTGAATCCTATCATTGTTCTTACTTTTTTATGAAGATTTAATATTTCTCCTCTTCTCCCCTAATGACATGCATATTAATTATGCTCACCAAAACATGGTACACAAGAACTAGTCCTACTCCTGCATAGGGTAATGAAGCCTCCCACAACAATCCCTCTCAACAGCAGTTCAAAGACTCTAGTTTGGGATCTTGTACCAAAAAGAAAGACACAATTTTTAATTACTCCAGGAGTAAGAGAAAATTCTTGTTCTCTACCATTCAAATTGTACCTCCTTAATTATATGTTACATCAATAAAACTTGTAGTTAAATTGATAACCCCTAAACATGAGGTGGTACACAACTACACATTTAATAGTACAGACTAAGATAAAACTCAAAACCATTCCCATTAAACCCAACTAACAAGGGTACGGTGAGGACAATACTTGTACATAATCTTATCTTTGCACATTTGCAAAGAGACTATTTTCCAGATTCCAACCCAGACACGGAATAAGATATCAATGAAAAATCAGCTCTCGAAAGAGTTTGATCTATTATCAAATGATAGATCTAATCTGTGAGTCCAGATTAGTAATTGATTATTGACTAACTACCTTGCCATTGTTACTGCAAAAAGATATCAAATGGATATAATAGCATCAATAGGATTTTGACCTGTCAAAAGATACATAAAATTGGCACTTCAAAATTATAGCAGTGTTTAAAATTATTGAACTTAACAAGATGAAGTTGATTCTGCATCTGAAGGATATTATTGTACTCCTTATCTGTCAACCACTGCCAGATTTGTGTGTTACCAATTCCAAATTCAATCAATTATTCCACCAACTAATGTATTTTGGGGAATAAAAACAAAATGAATTTTTTTTTTTTTTTCTGAAAAAATCTATTTTAGTAGAACCTCAACCAAATTCATGAATATGTGGATGACAAGAACAATAAAAAAACCAAAGAACAGAAATGAAACAAATATTAGATCGGTTCAATCCTTAAACTTCAACTTATTATGGTAATGACTTGTCGGTTATGTGCATCATAAGAACGTAACAAAACATAATTGAATTCCTCGTAGAAATCATCATCAAAGTCCACGAGACTTGACTCCAACCTAAATGACTAGTTAAAATGATAATCACCTAACATGTTATCGAAAGACAAAGGTATGTACCTGAAAATTGAGCAATTTCAAGAGATCTGTTTGAAATTTGGGTCCTTAGAATCCATCTCGAAACGACGTCGATCCGATGCACCTTAGTTTTGTTTGAACCTTTGAACATCCTTTGCTGAAGGGGTTGATGGATGCCATGCCAATACGGCATCACTCTGCACAAGGTTCTGAGATTGAAGATGGAGAAAAGGAAATTCCCAAACAGTACACACTCACAGGGACACAAAAACTATTATTATTTAATTAAAAAAAAACCACTAGAATCTGAAATTGGAGTGTAGGGTGTATTTGGTACAAGTATTTCAAAAGGATTAATGGTAAATCTTCTTTGGTAAACTCAATTATCATATTTGGTAGAAGGAACAAAAATTAGTTTCCAAATATCTAAGGATTAACGGTAATTTGATTTATAAAGAAAAATCACTATTCAGATTACTAAAAATAATATGGTAATTCAGAATAACAAGTAAAGGGAAAGCACAACAATAATTTTTGAGACAAAAATACTCCAACACACATAAAAACCTAGACCCAATCTATCAATTACAAAAGTAAAAATAGTTTGGGTTATTTTTATAAAATAACCCCATATTCCAAGTCATATTTCGTTCTAAACCAAACATGGAATCAGTCATCTTTATCCAATATTCCTGGTAATATTTTGGCGAAGCAAACACATTTTTCGTAAGATTCCAAGTAAACTCAATTTCTATTGTATTCCCATTAATCGTGATTCCCGGATACCAAAAAGTTTCTCTTATACCAAACACACCCGTGATGTTAATCTGTGATACCTGGATACGAAAATTTTTGTAAAAAATTGCCTCCACACCCGACACGCGGTTAATATTTTGGGACACGCGGTCAATTTTTTGACACGTTTCGACATATTTTTTCACACATAGTCAATTCTTTTGGACACGCGGTCAACACTCCGACATTTTTTTTAGTCTTAATTGTATTTTATTAACTAAACAAATAAAATAATTTATAAATCAATTTTTTTTCTGTTATGAAATTTGACATGAAAAATTAACAAGGTACGAAAAATTATTTTTCTTTCTATTTATGTTATGAAATTTGTATATTTGATTGATTATATGACTTATTATAGACTATTATATGTATTAAATATAAATTATATTATATATATTAAAAATTTTATTTAATATCAAAATATGTCTCAACGTGTCGAAATATGACATTTTTTAGAATTAACGTGTCGACGTGTCGTGTCTCGTGTCAGTATCGGTGTAACATAGATGTTAATCACCTATCCCTCACTCGTTAAATAATTAAGGGAATAAATCTTGTCAAATATTATTTAACATAATCATGTTAAATCAACCATAATAAAAGAAGACGATAATAAAAGAAGAGAAGAAAAAATATTAGAATAAGAAATAGTAAAATAATTACCATTGATACGATCATAAATAATTATAATATCTCAGATGACATTGTCATATTAATTAACACTTGAGGGAGACATAGGGCATGATTGACTGTGTTTTAGTTTTTTTTTCTTAAAAATTATTTTGTAGAATAATTATAGAAACAGCTGTTTTCTATGCTTTTTTGTTTTGAAAGTTAAAAATCAAAACATAAAACAAAAACAACTCAGATTTCTCTAAATTTGATTCAAAAACAAAAAAATAGTTATAGTTTTTAATTTTTTTTTATAAAATAGGCCTTACCAAACGAGTTTTTTTATTTTTTTGTTCTAAAAATCAAAAATCTATTTTAAAAAACTAGAGCCATGGATGTTTCCATACCATTATGAGCTCTCTCAACAAATCTTAGTGTATTTTTCTTGGTATGTCAAAATTCTATATTTGCTTTGCAAGATTTGGAAGCCAAGAACAACTTCAACTCTCCAATCATGCTCATTTCAAACTAAATCAAAAGTTTCGATGCATAAGTTCTCTTTAGTAGTCCAAACACAATATATTAAGATATATTTCTGAAATTAATATATCAATTTTTTAAAAATTTTAAAACAAGGTAGTGTCTTATATCAAGCTCTTGAAACTTATTTGAATGCATACACGGCTATTCAGCATTAAAAATAATAATTTGGTTGTTATCAAAAAAAAAAAAAAAAAATAATAATAATTTGGATACTAGATCCTTGAAGCACATACAAATTCTCATTTATATAACAATTCAAGAATAAATTTTTAAATTCAATGGGCGTAGCTTAGTTGGCAATACCGGCTGAGTAGGTGGGAAAAAAATTTAGGTTCGATTCCCTCCAAATACATATTTTTTAGAGAGCCGTCTCAAAGAGTTAATTAAGGTTGGTATACTAAAAAAATCAATATATTTTTAATATCAACATCAACATTAACAACACATTTATCCCAAACTAGTGAGGTTGGTGGTAGATGAACTATGAAAGATATGCATAGATTGAAAAAAAAAGATGAAAATAAAATTTAAATATATATATATATATATATATATATATATATATATAAAGCAGTAAACAATTAAAGGAAAGTATATTAAAATAAACTAAAGATAAAGATATATAGGAGGACAACAAATAATGAAAGGGTAAGAAATAAAATATAAAAATAAAAGGGGTATAAGGAGAAAAAAAGAAGTAAGAGAGAAAAGATGGGAAAGGGGAAAAGAAGTAAAAGAAATGAAGGAAAAAAGAAAAGAGAGGAAGATGAAGAGGAAAAGGACTAAAAATGGGTCATCTGGAACATAAGAATAATGGGTCTAACCCTCCACCATACTTATAATTTTTCTCCATTCCGTCCTAAGACACACCGTCTGTCAATTGATATCTCATTCCATTAAGTATTGTTTTACTACCTTCCTCCAAGTAAGTTTCGGTCTACCTCTACCTCTCTTAATGTCGATCTCTTGGTAGCAAACTTTTGTTCTTACAGGAGCTTCTAGGGGCCTTCTCATTACGTGTCCAAACCACCTCAATATATGTTCTCTCATATTTTCAACCAATAGTACTACTCCTACCTTTTGTCAAATATCTTCATTTCTGATCTTATTCATCCTCGTATAACCACACATCCACCTTAACATCCTTATTTTCACTACCTCCATTTTATGCTCATGTTGCCTATGTTCTAACCAACATTCAGCTCTATATAACATTGCAGGTCTTACTGTTGTTCTATAGAATTTTCCTTTTAGCTTAAGGGAAATTTTGCGGTCACACAAGAACACAAATGCACTATGTCATTTCATCCACCCTGCTCTGATTCTATAATTTACATCCTCATCAATCTCTCCACCATTTTGCAAAATTGATCCCAGATATCTAAAAGCATCTTTCTTGAGAAACTCTTGTCCAAGTAGATGTACGAAATCTTGATCTTGATCTCTTACCAGAGAAAACTCACATTTCATATATTCAGTTTAGCTTCTGCTTAACATGAATCTTTAAAATCCAATGTGCTTCTCCATAATTCCAGTTTTCTATTAACACTGAACTTGGTCTCATCAATAAGCAATATATCATCTGCAAAAAGCATACACTATTGTACTTCCTCTTGAATATCTTTTGTTAGTTCGTCCATAACTAAGGCAAAGAGATAAGGGCTCAAAGCCGAACCTTGGTTCACCTATCGTGATAGGAAAATAACTCGATGTTCCATTACAAGTTTCACACATGTAGAAGCACTATTATAGATATTCTTGATTGCATCTACATACTTTGATTGTACTTTTTTCTTCTCAAGAACCCACCATAAAACTATCATATGCCTTCTCCAAATCAATAAACACCATATGCAAGTCCTTCTTCTTTTCTCAATATCTTTTCATTAATTGTCGCATCAAAAAAATGGCTTCCATGGTACATCTTCCTGGCATAAATCCAAATTGATTTATAGAGACCTTGGTCTCTCTCCTCAAGCGATATTCAGTAACTTTCTCCCATAACTTCATAATATGGCTCATAAGCTTAATGTCTCTAGTTAGAATAATTTTGGATATATCCCTTATTTTTGTAAATAAGCACAAGCATACTTTTCCTCCAAGTATCTGGTATCTTATTTGTTTGAAGAATATTATTGAAAAGATTGGTCAGCCATTTTATTGCCACATCCCCCAGGCCTCTCCACACTTTAATAGGCACACCATCGGGTCCCAAAGCTTTACTAGTCTTCATCCTCTTTAAATCCTCATTAACTTCATGTGTATTGATTCTGCGTATAAATCTTATATTCAAATCATCATAAGCGTTCTCCAAGTCCACCTCTCTTTTATCGTCATCCCCACTAAAAAGTTTGTAGTTCATCCACCTTTCATTTACCTCTATATCTTTTATGAAAAGTTTTTTATTTACATCCTTGATACATCTAACCTGGGTAAGGTCTTTATTTTTCTTATTCCTCATTTTTGCAAGTTTATATATACCTTTTTCAACATCCTTGCTATCAACATTTTTATCCAAATCGAAAAAAACCTTGCCTCTAGCTTCTCGCACTGCTTTCCTTGCATTTTTTCTCGCCAATATAAACTTTTGCAAGTTCTCATCATTGGGACTTTTATGCAAACATCTAAAGCATTTCTTCTTCTGTTTAATTTCCTCCTGCACCTATCCATTCCACCACCATGTTTCCTTTGTTTGAAATCCATTTCCTTTACTTTCTCCCAACACCCTTCTTCCCACATTTTGGATGAACATAGCTGTAATAGCCTGTTACGTATCGGTAATGTTAACATTGCATATGGTATTAAGTGCAGTTACAATCACAGTAATTGAGATAATTAAATTATAGGTAAATTTTTTCCTTTGTTACTTCCTTGTTGTTAACCATTTACCATTTCCGTAATCAATTAAAACCAACACCGTAATTATAATTGCAAAACTCGCGGAAGCATAATACTTATTCTTTATAACCCCTCCGAGCAATACCATCAACTCTGGGTTATAAAACAACATCTTTTTTCAGATCTGTAGTGAGGTAATCGATTACCATCCTCAAGGTAATCGATTACCATAAGGTTATAGTAGAGGCAGAAGCTCAATTTTGGCTCCCTTGTTTTTGGTAATCGATTACCATACTCAAGGTAATCGATTTCTGAACTAGTTAACCGATTACTATCCTCAAGGTAATCGATTACCAGCCCTCACAGTGGCTGAAATCTACATCCCCTGCTTCAGGTAATCGATTATCACACTGAAGGTAATCCACTACCCTACTGGATAATCATGTTTTG